AGGATGGAAGACAGAATAATCTTTTGACCAGACGGACATTAAATTCTGAGCATGCCTCCATCTCTGGGTCCCCAGCACAGGAAGGACATCAACCTGTGGAGCAAATCCAGAGGATACCACCACGATGATCAGAGGGATGGAGTAGCTCTGCTGTGAGGAAAAGCTGAGAGAATTTGGGTTGTTCAGCCAGGAGAAGAGAAGCTTCAGGGTAACCTAATTGTGGCCTTTCAGTATCTGAAGGAGTCAACAAGAAAGATGGAGAGAGACTATGAGAGCATGTAGTGACAGGACCAGAGGGGAATGGCTTCACACTGACAGAGGGCATGGTTAGATCTTAGGAAGAAATTCTTTACTATGAAAGTTGTGAGACCCGGGCACAGGTTGCCCAGAGAAGCTGTAGCTGTCCCATCACTGGAAGTGTCCAAGGCCAGGTTGGACAGGGCTTGGAACAACCTGGGCTAGTGGAAGGTGTGCCTCTCCATGGCAGGGGGTTGGAACAAGATGATCCTTAAGGTCTCTACCAACTCAAGCCATTCTATGATTCTTTGATTATGAAAAGGACATCTGGACCAGCTGTTACGAAAAATGAAATATATCGAGAGATTATTCAGAATTCATAATTCAGAAAGCACTGGAAATGCTTCCCTAATGTGATACAAAACTTTCTTACCCTTTAGTTAATGAGATACTGAAGGACTTCAGATTAAAACACATTAGTTTCTATATTCTTAGACAATAAAAACATATTTGTATGCTATCAGAAGTGTCCTAAATAATCAGTCTCTCAGAGCTGCCAAATCCAGCTGCAAATGCTACACACTACAAAAAGGAACTCCATGTCTTCGAGGCCTGAGCATCTGCAGTAGGACAGGAGCAGCTGGCAGGGAAATACCTCCTTTGCTGCTGAGCACCGAGGTCCCCCAGTGTGAGGAAGCACTGACCAGCATTGACTGGTCACATGCTTCTGACATGGTTTGGGTCACTCTAACTTACCAAAACCACCATCTCAGTGCTCCATGCATGATGAGGACAGCATTGCCCTGTCTTGAGAGCTGTACTGAGCCAGTCAGCTCAGGGATGGATGAAAGATGACAGAGAAATTTATCTATTCTTTTGCCCTCCCCATCAATGGAGTTAAATTAATCCATGCTTTGAGTTAGCATGGCCAGGTTTTGGTAGCAGGGGGGAATATATGGGTGGCTTCTGTGAGAAACTGCTAAAAGCTTCCCCCATGTCCAGCAGAGCCAGTGCTACCAGCTCCAGGACAGACTCACCACTGGCCAAGGCCAAACCAGTCAGGAATGACAGTAACAACTCTGGGATAACATATTTAAGAAGTAAAAAAAGTTATTGTGCAGATGAAATGCAGAGAAAGCCAGAGGAGAGCAGAATGAGAACATTTGAACAGCTCTGCAGACACCAAGGTCAGTGGGGAAGGAGGGGCAGGAGGTGCTCCAGGCCCCGGAGCAGAGGTTCCCCTGCAGCCCCTGGTGCAGCCCATGGTGGGGCAGCTGTGCCCCTGAGCCCATGGAGGCCACGGGGGTGCAGAGACCCCCCTGCAACCTGGGGAGGAGCCCACGCTGGAGCAGGGGATGCCAGAAGGTGGTTGTGACCCTGTGGGAGGCCTGTGTTGGAGCAGGGTTTTGGCAGGTACCTGCTGACATGTGGAGAGAGGAGCCCTGGAGCAGTGGCAGGAACAACTTGTGATGAATTGTGATCCTCATTACTGTCTGCCTGCACTGCTGCAGAGGAGGAGGTAGAACTTGGGAAGAAGGGAGAGGTGGGGGAAGGTGTTTGTAAGAATTATTTTACTTCTCATTATCCTGCTCTGACTTTGTTAGCAATAAATTCAACTAATATCCCCAATTCGAGTCTGTTTTGCCCGTGACTCAGTCACGGTGAGTGATCAGCGAGTGATCTCTCCCTGTCCTTAACTCAGGAACCCTGGGTTGTATTTTCTCTCCTCTGTCCAGATGCAGAGGGCAGTATTATAGCACCTTTGGTGGGTACCTGACGTCCAGCCATGGTCAATCCACTACAGTCCACTTTAACATTTTACCACCACACTGGTGTTGCAGGCACTCCCTTCATAAGGTGACAGGAAAACGCCTGTTGGGGTATGGTTTGTCTGACAGGTTCCTGGGGGCAGAGCTGTGACAGGGGGCACCACTGGACACTCCAACCACCAGATACGCCAACTCACATAGGCTGCAGTAAACACTGCCGGAGGGCCCAACCAGAATAAGTAAAATAAGTGCGAAGGAATATCTAATATAAACCTAAAAAGTCTCTTATCTCCACCTAGTGGAACTGATACCATTGCCAGAAGGCAAAAGCAAGAGACACAGTCAGCCTGCATTTGGAAATGCCATTCTCCCCAAACTCCATTTCCATCCTGCTGTGACGGCACCAGGCTGGTGGGTGTCCAACACTGCCGGTCAATGCAGATTCAGTGGAAACACCCGTAGATTCCCGGTCTCAGGGCTCAGTGATGCAACTCCCGATGCAACGACGGGCTCAGTGAGCTTTGAAACAGAAACTCGCCGTTGCATCTCTCACCTTTTCACCTGCCCCTTCCTAGTCTTCTGAGGTTCCCAGTCTGTACCTTGTGGATGGTTTAATGCCGGGAGCCAGCGGGATCCTGCTGCCACCTGCTGTCACTGTGTCACACACAAAGACAGGAGTCCCTGCACACAGTACCCGCACAGAAATGCAGGGAATGAGAATTGCAGGAAGAAAGAGAAAAATGGTGATAACTGTACGACTTTAGGTTTACCTATATGAGGAATTCTCCTCCTTTCCTGGTGCATAAAAGATCCCAATTTGTGCTTTATTGACTTTTCACATGAACACTCAAAATTTCAAAGGGACTATTTGGACAACAACCCTGCATTAACGTTATGTCAGTGCACAAATAAACTTGGGTCTTTGTATGTACAATTCTTGAAAAACCTTGTCTTTCTTCCTACAGAAACTCACACTTGTGCCCAATCCTAAATACACACACACCAGCAATTATGCCTCAGTGGAGGACAGCAGAGAAGCGTGAGATGGACTTCTAGCACACACACTGAGCAGAGCAGCACCTCTGCACCTCCCACAGCAAGAGCAGAGGCAGCCTGCTCACCCAGGGACAGCGGCAGGGGCAGGGGCAGGGACAGGGACAGACTGCTCACCCAGGGACAGGGACAGGGACATCCTGCTCACCCAGGGACAGGGGTACGACAGGCTGTGCACCCAGGGACAGGGGTACGACAGGCTGTGCACCCAGGGACAGGGACAGCCTGCTCATGCAGTCCAGGTCAGGTGACACCTGCAGGGGCAGGGGTGACACCGGGTTTCTGTGTCCCACAGGGCCTCACTGGGAGAGTGCTTTGTCCCTGCTCAGGGCCAGGCAACAGTGGGATTGGCACAGCCACAACAGGTAGAAAACAGAAACAGAAATGTGGAAGCTAGAGACAAAGAAGCAGCAAGTGGGAGCACCCAAGAGCTCTCTCTTTTTGTTTTTTGTTTTGTTTTATTTATCTCCCCAGTCAATGCAATGCAGATAACGACAGGAAAGAGCTAAAAGGCAGGGAGTTCAGCCCCACATAGCTCTAGGTGCCATCAAGCTGGAGCAGTCGAGGTTGATGGCCTGTGGCCCAGGGAGATGCCAGCTCCAGCCAAGAGAATCCTTTAAAGCTTGTTTCATACAACAACCTTGCACAAAGTCAAAGCATTTATAACTTCCATTTAAATAAAGTTGATGCATGTTAAAACATGCGAATATAATTATTTGCATTATTGAATTTCTACCCTTAAAAGTAACAACAGGCAATGGGTTGCTGAGAAATGATAAGAACATCCCAGTGCCTGTCCCAGCCACGGGACACCTCCTGCACCAGGCTGATCCCTGGTAGCAGCAGGATTTAAGTCAGAGCTCCTTCTAGTGAGTACAGAAGGGTAGTGGTCATGGAGGAGAAAGGACTTGGGTAAAAGACGAGAACAGTGGAGAGTGCACTGACATGTAATAAGTGATATGAATGTGTACTGGATCAGGTTGCCAAGAGATAAAAGGATAGCTCTTGAAATTTAGGATGTAGGAAGAAGAGAAATATTCCAAGAGGCCATTTGTGCCAGCATCTGGCAGCACTCCCAAGGTCCCTTTATGGTTTTCACTCCATGACCTCTTTTGTCTAATGCAGCACTGGAATGACATCCAAGTCAGGACCCTTGAAAATATTCATTGGTCCCTTCCTAAGGAGTATCTTACAGAACCTTTTTCTCTCCTTTTGGGAGAGCAGAAGATTGATAAGGATATATAAGATTTATAAGGATTTAAAACCGTTACCTTAGATAGATGTAGATCCACAGAGTAATTTGATATTTTAGTACTCCACACATGTACATGCAAACTGTGCTTGGCCATTGCCACAAGCAGGCCTGGTGCCAGCTGCTCTGGCATACAAAAAAGAAGTAGATATCAGCCATATAGTCCATCTCAGGGAACTTTGTGATACATTAGAGACACAGGGATCCACAGGCGACCTTTCAGCTACCCCATGAAGTCCTCTTTGATGGTAGTTACTGAACAAATTCTTGATTCAGAGCCCCCAGATACCCTCTGCCTGTCTGTTGTAAGCTCCAAGTAAGGCAGCAAGGATCACCCCCAGCAAATTCTAGCTTTTATGCAAGTGCAGCAAAGCAGCTCCTTCCATACCTGACTTCTTTGGAATTAACTACTCGCAGCTTAGAGGAAATTAGGAAAATTTTGTCATTCATGTCTAACCACTAACACAGCCAATGAACATCTTTAGCTTTGAGAGCACTCGGGGAGCAGGAATGAAACAAAAAACTGTCCTGGAGTCCAGGCACTACCCAGTTTAACAGGCACACACGATGTGATGAACACACACTTCATCTCAGCACTACAGACAGCCCACTATAACAAAGACAAATGCTGCAAATACTACAGGATAGGTTTTATTCCATGTGGTTAAACCCAGTCAGAAAAGCATTTAGGTATATGGGTATTCCTATGTGTCCTAGTTAGGACAGCTGAGACCAGTTCATCACTGGATGGGTGTAACCCAAAACTGTGTATTCTATAGCCTTCCATGCCATTTCCCAGAAACTGTTTTCAATAGACTATTTACACCCTTTGCCCAGAGCAACCTGATTCCTCAGGCTACAAAGTAGGTGTTAAGAGGTCTGCGATATAGAAGGGTGCCTCCCTGTTCCTCACACCCTTTGTGAAACTCCCCGCTCTGAGGGAAGGACTGAGCATTCCTGCCTGAACTGGAGAATATATAAACTTGGAGTCTTGGAACTTTTTTCACCACTCGTGGGATCCAGAGGAGGACTGCAGATCACCGCTCTTAACCAGACTGCAGACCCCCACTCTCAGACAGACTGCAGGCCACCACTTTTCAACCAGACTGCAACCACCACTCTTGACCAGACTGCAACAGCACTCTCACCAACAGGTTTTTCCCTCTTCTTTTACTTTGGACTCAGGGGGCCCAAAGAACACCACACTGTTCATGTCCCAGGGTGCTGGGTTATATATTTGGGTTTTGTGGGTTAAAACCAATTGTTTGTCTGTATAATTGTACTTATTGTATTATTTTATTAAATTGTTATTCTGACTTATAATCTCTGAGTTGAGTCCATTTCCCCTGCTGGTTTATCTTTAAACGAGCACATTTTTGGTGCCCAGCATGGGGCAGAGAGAGAAGTCAGAATCACAATTTCATTTTAAGCATTTGTCTATTTGGATACAGAAACTCCCTGATCAACATGTTCTTTGATGCATTCACGTGGATGTTGTATCTGAGCCTGTTCATATTTCCACAGACGGGGAACTATTTGCCTGTTTTGATGCTCTCTTTAAGACCAGGGAGAGGGATCCAAATTGCTTTCTTAGTATACTATGTTTGTGTCATCATAACATCAGAAGCAAGGAGTTTCATTGTAAATGTGTATTCAGTTCTGTTTGCCTGTCCTGGTTTGGGTTGCTACCTCTGGGTCCTCATTAAAAATCGCACCCAGCCCTTTGGGGGAACAGGGGGGAATGGTTGTTTCCAGCCTCTCACCTCCTTCTTCCCCTTCAGACCTGCTACAACAGTTTTTTAAAATATTGAGTTCCCTTTTGATGTTAAGGACAGCATGATGTTATTGTTAGTGTTGCTTTGTCTGCTCTGTACTGTCTACACCATGTTTAGGGTCAGAACAGGGCCTTCTAGGGAGGTTGTTTGGACGCCTGCCCTGGGAGCAGATAATGCTGAGTGGCACGGGAAGTGGGAGGACATCGGCCAGTATTTGGAGAAGTTTTCTCCTCCAATGATCTGGAAATTCACCCCTGAACAACTGCAGGATCCTGTTAGCATGATAAGACTGGTGAAGGGAAAATGCTCTGGCAGCTCCAGAGATGGCCAGCTCACAGCAACCTGCTGGGCCCTGGCCACTGCCTACCGGACACTACTTGACATGGTACAGCACTGTCAGGGGGAGGAGAGAAGGAGCAAATCCACAGGCACCACGTCCACCCAAACCACAGCTGAGTCAGAGGGAGAAAGAAATGAATCAACCGGCACCGTGTCCACACAAACCATCGAGGAGCCACAAGAACAACCGAAACCAACAGCAGTCGCCCCTGTCCAGAAAAGGAAATCAAAGACTAAATCAGTCCGTATAGCAAATGATGATGAAGAGGCAGGACCTTCACATCCACCGGAGGAGACAGAGCCAGAAATAATCACTCGGTCCCTATCCCTGGGTGAGCTACGTGAGCTCCGGAGAGAGTTCACACGACAGGCGAATGAGTCCATTCTGACCTGGCTGCTCCGAATCTGGGATGCCGCAGCTAACGATACAATTCTAGATGGGAGTGAAGCCAGACAGCTGGGATCCCTGTCTCGAGATGTAGTCATTGATCAGGGGATTGGAAGGAGGCAGGAAACTCTCAGCCTCTGGCGGCGACTGTTGTCCAGCGTGAGGGAGAGATACCTTTGTAAGGAGGACCTCCACGTACAGCAAGGACAGTGGAACACGATGGAACAAGGTATCCGGTGCTTAAGAGAATTAGCTGTACTGGAGATAATCTTTTCAGAGGATGAAAGATTCCCTAAAAGTCCAGATGGTGTACAGTGCACATCCCAGATGTGGTTGAAGTTTGCACGACTTGGGCCAGAAATGTATTCCCGCTACCTAGCAACGCTGCAATGGAGGGAGGGAGAGGACAAGGTGGGTGCGTTGGTCAGTAAACTCAGGATTTATGAAGACACTGTCACCGCCCCATTACGAGCCCACGTCTCATCTGTGGAAACCAAACTGGCCAAACATGTTCGAAGCCTGGAAGAGAAGATTGAAGAGGGACACCAGAAGCTAAGAGAAGAAATTAAGGAAGGGATCTTCCATATCACACCAGGACAAACAAGAGTCTCTGCTATCAGGAGTCAGCGTCCCCCAGCTAAGGAGAGAGGGCACACTCCACGTGGCAATCTATGGTTTTACCTCCGTGAGCACGGAGAAGATATGAGGAAGTGGGATGGGAAACCCACCTCTTCCTTAGCAGCCCAGGTACGTGAACTGAAAAGAGGGACAAGTACCACAAGGAACTCTTCAAGGGAAAATGCTGCTCCAGTCTCTCGTGGGCAAGACTCCAGACGGTACAGGAATGATGATACGTCTGATCCTCTTGAAGGGACCTCCAGGTCATACTCACAAGAAGAGCACAATGAGTACCATGACCAGGACTAGGGGTGCCCTGCCTCTAGCCAGGTAGAGGAGAGGGACAATCAGGTCTATTGGACAGTGTGGATTCGGTGGCCTGGCACATCAGAGCCACAAAGATATAAGGCCTTAGTGGACACCGGCGCACAATGTACTTTAATGCCATCAAGATACGTAGGGGCAGAATCCATCTCCATTTCTGGGGTAACAGGGGGATCCCAACAGCTGACTGTATTGGAAGCTGAAGTGAGCCTGACTGGGAAGGAATGGCACAGACACCCCATCGTGACTGGCCCAGAGGCCCCGTGCATCCTTTGCATAGATTACCTGAGGAGTGGCTATTTCAAAGACCCAAAAGGACTTCGTTGGGCTTTTGGCATAGCTACTGTGGAGACAGATTAAATTAGACAGATGAACACCTTGCCTGGTCTCTCAGAAGACCCCTCTGCTGTGGAACTGCTGAAGGTTGAAGAACAATTGGTACCGACAGCCACAGCAACAGTGCACTGTCGGCAATACCGCACTGACCGAGACTCTGTGACCCCTATACATAAGATGATCTGTGACCTGGAGACCCAGGGGGTGGTCAGCAAGACTCATTCACCCTTTAATAGTTCTACATGGTCAGTACATAAGTCCAGCGGAGAGTGGAGGTTGATGGTGGATTACCGTGGACTCAATGAAGTCACACCACCCCTGAGTGCTGCTGTGCCGGACATGCTGGAGCTCCAGTACGAGCTGGAGTCCAAGGCAGACAAGTGGTACGCCACCATTGACATTGCGAATGCCTTTTTCTCCATTCCTTTGGCAGCGGAGTGCAGGCCACAATTTGCTTTCACTTGGAGAGGTGTGCAGTACACCTGGAATCGACTGCCTCAGGGGTGGAAACACAGTTCCAGCATTTGCCATGGACTGATCCAGACTGCACTGGAAAAGGGCGAGGCTCCAGAACATCTACAGTACATTGACGACATCATTGTATGGGGGAACACAGCAGGGGAAGTCTTCGAGAAAGGAGAGAAGATAATCCAGGTTCTCCTAAGAGCTGGTTTTACCATTAAACGAAGTAAGGTCAAGGGACCTGTTCAGGAAATTCAGTTCCTGGGAGTGAAGTGGCAAGATGGACGCCGCCTAATTCCAATGGAGGTGATTAACAAAATAGCAGCCATGTCCCCACCAACCAGCAAGAAGGAAACACAGGCTTTCCTAGGAGCTGTGGGCTTTTGGAGGATGCATATCCCTGAGTACAGTCAGATTGTAAGCCCTCTCTAACTTGTGACATGGAAGAAAAATGATTTCCAGTGGGGCCCTGAACAACAACAAACCTTTGAAGAAATTAAACAGGAGATTGCCCATGCGGGAGCCCTTGGGCCAGTAAGGACAGGACAGGACGTGAAGAACGTGCTCTACACTGCAGCCGGGAAGAATGGCCTTTCTTGGAGCCTCTGGCAGAAGGTGCCTGGGGAGACCCCAGGACGACCGCTGGGATTCTGGAGTCGGGGATACAAAGGATCTGAAGCCAGCTATACACCAACTGAGAAAGAGATCCTTGTTTCCTATGAAGGAGTTCGAGCTGCCTCAGAAGTGATCGGCACCGAAGCGCAGCTCCTCCTGGCACCCCGACTACCAGTGCTGGGTTGGATGTTCAAGGCAAGAGTTCCTTCTACACATCACGCTACCAATGCCACATGGAGTAAGTGGATCGCTCTGATCACACAGCGAACCCGGATAGGGAATCCTAATCGCCCTGGGATCCTGGAAATTATCACCAATTGGCCCGAAGGTGAGAGTTTCGGACTATCCTCTGAAGAAGAAGAGGAGCAGGTGACACGGGCTGAGGAGGCCCCACCATATGACAAGTTACCAGCAGATGAAAGGCGATATGCGCTCTTCACGGATGGCTCCTGTCGCATTGTAGGGACGAACCGAAAATGGAAGGCAGCAGTATGGAGTCCCACACGGCGAGTTGCAGAAGCAACCAAAGGACAAGGCGGGTCAAGTCAGTTTGCAGAGCTTAAAGCCATTCAGTTGGCTTTGGATATAGCTGAACGAGAGAAATGGCCAAGACTCTATCTCTACACTGATTCATGGATGGTGGCCAATGCTCTGTGGGGATGGCTGGAGCGATGGAAAAAGGCCAGCTGGCAGCACCAAGGGAAACCCATCTGGGCGGCAGAGATGTGGCAGGACATCGCTGACCGGGTAGAGAAGCTGAGTGTGAAAGTCGGTCACGTAGATGCTCATGTACGCAAGAATCGGGCTAATGAGGAGCATCGTAACAACGAGCAGGCGGACCGAGCTGCCAGGATTAAAGTCTCTCAGGTAGATCTGGATTGGCAGCACAAAGGAGAATTCTTTCTGGCTTGATGGGTCCATGACGCCTCCGGTCACCAGGGGAGAGATGCAACATACCGATGGGCTCGTGACCGAGGGGTGGACTTAACCAAGGACATTGTCTCACAGGTCATCCATGACTGTGAGACATGTGCTGCCATCAAGCAGGCCAAGCGGGTGAAGCCTCTATGGTATGGTGGACGGTGGTCAAAATACAGGTATGGGGAAGCCTGGCAAGTTGACTACATCACGCTCCCCAGAACCCGCCAAGGCAAGTGCTTTGTACTGACCATGGTAGAAGGAAGTACTGGATGGCTGGAGACATACCCTGTGCCTCATGCCACTGCCCGGAATACCATCCTGGGCCTCGAAAAACAAGTCCTGTGGCGACACGGCACCCCGGAGAGAATTGAGTCTGATAATGGGACCCATTTCAAGAATGGCCTCGTAGACACCTGGGCCAAAGAGCACGGCATTGAGTGGGTGTATCATATCCCCTACCATGCACCAGCGGCTGGAAAAGTTGAGCGGTGCAACGGACTGCTGAAAACCACCCTGAAGGCACTGTGTGGGGAGACTTTCAAACACTGGGAGCTGCATTTAGCAAAGGCCACCTGGTTGGTCAACACCCGAGGCTCTATCAGTCGAACTGGCCCTGCCCAATCAGAACCTTTGCATACTGTAGATGGAGATAAAGTCCCCGTGGTGCATATGAGAGGAATGTTAGGGAAGACTGTTTGGATTAGTCCCACCTCAAGCAAAGGCAAACCCATCCGAGGGATTGTTTTTGCCTAAGGGCCTGGTTTCACCTGGTGGGTTATGCAAAAAGATGGGGAGACACATTGTGTACCACAAGGGGACCTAATTTTGAGTGAGAATGGTCTGTAATGTTTCATTATATATATATAGATGTATATAGTGTTAAAGGGATATAGTTTTTAAAGGGGGTTAATTTGGGCATGACATGGATGGTATAGAATAAGAGGTGGATAATGTCCTAGTTAGGACAGCTGAAACCAGTTCATCACTGGATGGGTGTAACCCAAAACTGTGTATTCCTTCCATGCCATTTCCCAGAAACTGTTTTCAATAGACTATTTACACCCTCTGCCCAGAGCAGCCTGATTTCTCAGGCTGCAAAGTAGGTGTTAAGAGGCCTGCGATATAGAAGGGTGCCTCCCTGTTCCTCACACCCTTTGTGAAACTCTCCACGCTGAGAAAAGTACTGAGCATTCCTACCTGAACTGGAGAATATATAATCTTGGGATCTTGGAACTTTTTTACCACTCGTGGGATCCAGAGGAGGACTGCAGATCACCGCTCTTAACCAGACTGCAGACCACCACTCTCAACCAGACTGCAACCACCACTCTCAACCAGACTGCAACAGCACTCTCACCAACAGGTTTTTTCCCCTCTTCTTTTACTTTGGACTGAGGGGGCCCAAAGAACACCACTCTGTTCATGTCCGAGGGTGCTGGGTTATATATTTGGGTTTTGTGGGTTAAAACCAATTGTTTGTCTGTATAATCATACTTATTGTATTGTTTTATTAAATTGTTATTCTGACTTATAATCTCTCTTTTGAGTTGAGTCCATTTTCCCTGCTGGTTTACCTTTAAACCAGCACACTATGTTTATTCTGAGTGCTCAAGGATACACTTTAGCTTCCAGCTGATGAGATCTAAGCACATTCCTAATTACTGATTTCAGAGAGGTCTGGAGATGCTGCAAT